GAGTTCTATATAACTTAATTAATTTATTAAGTACTTCAAGAAATAACACATGCTTTTAACTACTAGAGATATCTCATTCACTGTCTTTCGCTACGCTGGTTTTTGTAACTAACCCCAAGCATTATTACCTGGGAGAGTTGGGAGCTGGCCAGGCTGGAACTCTTATCGACGTTTTCCCTAGGCCTTCTGATGTAGGGTACCTCCTACCGTGTTAATCTTTGAAGTTCTGTTAAACAAAGGATTTTCTCGGGCTGCTTCATACACAGGTTTCTGTGTCAAGTATGCAATTATCCAAGCATGTGACCATTCCCGAATATTTTGTCCAAGTGTGTGCTTTCTTTGGAATTATCTGTGCATGTGACCAATCCGGAATGTTTTGCCATTACTTGGTAGAGATGGCAGTTACTGATTTCCTGTGATCTTAGCAGACTTGAATGACTCAGTGTAATTCCACTCACATAATAGCCCATTGTAAAGCCTCTTATCAGTTTCTGTTCTCCTCAGCCTTATCCAACACCCATAAAGGTAGACCCATACCTCCAAACAAAAGGTTCAATTGAGGAAAAGTCACTATTCCTTCAGTATCAATGGGTCAAAGTCCTGGAAATCCTCCCACAACCCCCGCCTCAACATTTGGAGGTACCAACAAAGAATGGACTTTAGCAGGTCAAAAAGGTAGCTCATTCTCTTGAGTAACTAGGGATGGGCGATGAATGTTGGCCCAATCAGCAGTGTCTGCATCTCATGAATTAACGGATAAAACAAACTAAATTATAGCCAGTTAATGGCCTTGCTGATAACAAGCAAATACAAAATACCAAAAGAGGACTGAAAAATGATGCAGCGTGATATATAATACTGAGATCTGAAGACAGGTCAATAAACAGGATGGCATTGTTTCCAAATCACTATCTGGACTTAAACCTGGTATGGCGGATTGCGTGTATTTTGTAAAATCTAATCTATTTTTATACCATTATGCTGTTGGAAATTATGCCTAATCTCCACATGCAAATATGATGCTTTCGTGAAAGCACTCATATTGCAGATTGTTTTGTAAATTCTAATACATGATGGCACGTTGTTCAGTTCTTAAATTACAAATCTTGACTCAATTCTCTCGACATTTCTATCTCAAATAACCAGGGGACCAATTCTTTCTTTTTCCCTTTTCTAGAAGAGATGCACTGAAGTGAGTTGTAGAGTCCTAACATTAGCTGACTCAGGACAACACACACATGGCGTTGTTACAGTGTGTGTGTCCAATTTGCATAACATAGTGGGCGGCATGGTGGCTCAGTGGTTAGCACTGCTGCCTCACAGCACTAGGGACCTGGATTCAATTCCACCCTTGGGCCACTGTCTTTGTGGAGTTTGCACATTCTCCCCGTGTCTGTGTGGGTTTCCTCCGGGTGCTCTGGTTTCCTCTCACAGTCCAAAGATGTGCAAGGTAGGTGGATTGGCCATGCTAAATTGCCTATAGCATTCAAGGATGTGTAGATTAAGTGGGTTATTGGGAGATGGGACTGGGTGGGATGCTCTGAGGGTCAGTGTGGACTTGTTGGGCCAAAGGGCCTGTTTCCACACTGTAGGGACTCTATGATAGCATACACTGAATCATTTCCAGTGGGCAATTACTTTTGAACAATGTTAAGCAAAAGAAATAGCAAAAATTGGTTGAACTCATGGGATCAAGCAGTACTGGAAATACAACAAACTTATTAAAATGAAATAGAACAAAGGACTGAACAAGTAGTAATTGAAGCAATGAACTTATTCTGTGTAGTTTAATGTTTATTGAATCAATAAAATGCTGACAAATAACCCTTTTCACCTGTGTTTAAAAGTTATGTGTTAACTGAAATAATAAAATAAAAAACAAATAGTAAAGTTTTAATTCAGCTTGCTTGCGTGTATTTGTAACAGACTAATGAATGCCCGATAACCCTAATAGCTCACAAGATGTTACATTCTAGATCATTGAGTACATTTAAGACTGAGATAGATAGGTTCTTGATTATCAAGGGGATCAAGGGTTACGAGGAGAAAGCGGGAGAATGGGGTTGAGGAACTTATCAGCCATGATTGACTGGCGAGCAGACTTGATGGGCCGAATGGCCTAATTTCTGCTCCTATGGCTTATGGTCTTAATTAGGAGATAGGGATGATCAAATGGTGCTTCATTCTATTTTAGTTCACGTGCTTAGAATTCAACATCTAGGCAATCTGAGACATAGAATTTTCTTTGAGTTCTCCCTCTGACTTTGATAAAGGGTTGATGGAAGCTTCAGATGAATGATGCAAGCACTTTAACCATTGACAATATTACCCTAAAGGAGCCACAGAAATGCCTGCAGTTCAAGAAAATAAACGTAACATCAGTTGAAAACTGTGCTGATATGTCTTTGAATTTGAACAAACAGCACATTAACTAATCACTACATGTTCATGCAGCTTGCACAAAAGCCAGTCATCTTGCAGTGCAGTGATGAACTGAATCAGGCAGAGGCTGTCAGTTCAAATCTCTGATATAACAAGGTGTAGAGCTGGATGAACACAGCAGGCCAAGCAGCATCAGAGGAGCAGGAAGGCTGACCCAGTCGCGAACCACTTCAACTCCCCCTCCCATTCCTCAGACAACATGTCCATCCTGGGCCTCCTGCAGTGCCACAACGATGCTACCCGAAGGTTGCAGGAATAGCAACTCATATTCCGCTTGGGAACCCTGCAGCCCAATAGTATCAATGTGGACTTCACAAGCTTCAAAATCTCCCCTCCCCCTACCGCATCCCAAAACCAGCCCAGCTCATCCCCACCTCCCTAACCTGTCCTTCCTCCCACCTATCCCCTCCTCCCACCTCAAGCCGCACCCCCATCTCCTACCTACTAACCTCATCCCGCCCCCTTGACCTGTCCGTCCTCCCTGGACTGACCTATCTCCTCCCTACCTCCCCACCTACACTCACCTTTAATGGCTCCATTCCCGCCTCTTTGACCTGTCTGTCTCCTCTCCACCTATCCTCTCCTCTATCCATCTTCTATCCGCCTCCCCCTCTCTCCCTATTTATTTCAGAACCCCCTTCCCCTCCCCCATTTCTGATGAAGGGTCTAGGCCCGAAACGTCAGCCTTCCTGCTCCTCTGATGCTGCTTGGCCTGCTGTGTTCATCCAGCTCTACACCTTGTTATCTCAGATTCTCCAGCATCTGCAGTTCCTACTATCTCTGAAACAGTTCAAATCTCTGCTTTGTACGGGGTTAGTTGTTCTTAGTCAAGGCAGCTTCAATCAGCCCAAGTCTAAAGACGGAGGAAGGAGAAACATTACTTAATGCCAGTAATTATGTGGCTTGACAAAACAGTTATAGTAATAGGTGCAAAATTGGGATTTTACACTTCGGTGTGAACCTTGTCTGCCTAGATATTACAGGGGTGTTGGACTCATAATATATGAGATTTCACAACAATGATACACAGTCAGATTACTGCCATTCACTGGTAGTAGAGGAGCACAGTTATTTCTCTTAACTGGACTGAGGAATAAAATGCCACAAAGAAGATTGTAACCTTGTTAATAGAGCAGCTACAGCTTACATTCTGTGTAAAAAGAATCAATTGCGTTGAGTTACATTCTACACATTAACAACACGAACAAAATTATGTAAAAAAAAAAGTTGCAGGGAAAATTAAAACCAAAAAGAACTGCAGATGCTGGAAATCAGAAACAAAAACAGAAATTGCGGGAAAAACTTAGCAGGTCTGGCAGCATCTGTGGAGGGAAATCAGAGTTAATGTTTTGGGTCCAGTGACCCTCAGAAACATTTATTCTGATTTCTCTCCACAGATGCTGCCAGACCTGCTGAGCTTTTCCAGCAATTTCTTTCTTTGTTACATCGAAAATTAGTCTTTTTCTCTTAGTGCAACATGACCGTTCAAGTTTCCTAACAACAGTAATCAGTCAAAGTCGGTCTTGCTTATTGTGAATGTTAATGGAAAATACCCCCGACAAATTGCCCCTATTTTATTTCCTTGTCATTGTAAATTCGGTTTCCAAATTTCATGTTTTAATGGAGACCTCATCATGTCTGTCGGTCAAAAATTCTAAGGAAATTAAATTGTTTAACTGTTAATATCTCTTCATATTTGTGTATGGTTGACTTACAGGACTTCGCCCTGGTAGCGCCACATAGCGGATTCATTTTTCATAAGCATCGATGTTTTACTCATTTGACAGTGATGATAGATCATGGAGATTTTACAGCCCTATGGCCCATCGGGTCCACGACGGTTATTAAGCATTTATCTACTCTAATCCCATTTTCCAGCACTTACCCCGTAGCCTTGGACGTTATGGTAATGTTAAATAGTTTGTTTCTTCCGTTCACACAAAACAAATGAGATTAGAGCACTGAGGAAAATTCAGTGCTGCGGGAAAAAAAATCAACGCATAAATTGCAAGTTGACCAGCTTTGAAGAAAGGCTACGACAGTTATAAACTAATAAAATGGTCTCTAAGAATTGTCCGTTTTGAATTGTGAGAGTTGATTCGATTTATATTGTGAGCAATGCTAAATAAGAGACAGCAGAACGATTGCATGTTGTATACACAAATTTAAACGAATTTTGCAAAAACGTAAATCATTTCTGTTCCAATTTCCTACAAATTCAACACAATACTTTGTCGAACGCTACATTAAGCTGTGACAAAGCTCTTTTTAAATATATCAACAACTTACCGATGGATTGAAAATATTTTAACAGAGACTCACTTCACAGCTATCCCTCACTTCCCATGCCAAACGCGACCAGTGTTCTATCTCCTGGCTGCTCTATCAGTTGTTAGGCTGCTGAATGTCCTTTATTGTTTCCTGATAAAGTTGACTAGTGTTTCTCTGTTTGCAAATTTATCTCCAGAGGATTTGTTTTCCAATCCTAAGGATTGGGCGGGATCATTGATTAAATCGAAATTGAAATCCGATCCTGGTCATTGTTCACGATCCCAGCACTGGAGTATATCTGAATATTTAGCAAAGACAGTAGCTATTTCTGCGGTTTCGGAATGTCTTCGTTTTGCTACACTTACGCAGTGAGAATGATGTTTAATTTTTGAACCATATTCTGGGTTTGTAAGGAAAGAAAAATAAACTGTTCACAAAACATCGGTCATTAATTTTGGCGTTAAACGGTTCCAGGAAACAGCATCTCCCACGGTAAGTTTCTTTTTTGCTTTTTTACTTCTGTGTTGACCAAATCCTTTGAAATCTGGTTCACCTATTATACTTTAAATCCCAAGTCACTTTTTTCGTTGATGTTATGCATGAATTCTTCGTCTCTCTTTGGAAAGCATTCATATCACAGCCAGATTTTCTGAAGTGTGAAAGCTAAATTGATACAAACTGGAGGCACCGTAATTGTGTTCTGTATAGTTTTTCACATCCTGCTAACCGGAGGGTAACACACTTTTCCCAACCTAAAACACAATAAACGTTTATTTGCACCATTGCTCCTTTCAGGTAGATTTTATGTCCCAGTAAAATACTTTTCTCCACTTCGCTAACGATTCTTTGGTGCTCCATGTTTTTCGTTTAGTAGGTCCGATGCGTTTCTTCGATTTGGAAACATTTTATTGTTGTCTTGGAGTTTTTCCAACATTGACAGCTGTGTTAGCAGTTTGCTTCCCCGTTTCTGTGCCCCATTTGATTGAACTTCAAGCATGAGGAACATAGCGCTATGTCGGTAATTTATTGTAAACACTTCTAGAGCACTTAATTTGGTGGCGGCAGGTTATATAAGATAAAGGTAAAAATAATTCTGGATTTCAATAAGTGTGGTTATAGGAGAGATTGAGACATTTGATGGTTTAGTAACATTTATTAATATTGGAAATGTTTAATAGAGATCTAGACAATATGGCTTTGATTGTACCTATACTTGTTAGTTTTTTGTATCAGAAATGATGATTAAAAGCTAATGGCTAGAACATATGTTGCTTTGGCAATGTTTATTTCATCCTTTATCACTCAAAGATGATCATTCATCCTGATGTTTCCAACTATATCTGATACTAATGTCATAATTTCAATTCCTATATTGTTGTAAACTATTGGGTTAAACTTAAATGGAAAACTTTTGCCTTTAGGTGTTGAATGTTATTGCAATTACTATTATTTATGACAAACCAGGTGACAATGATAACCTTTTCTGTTTTTTTTCAGGAAAAAACACCCCAGGGTAAGAGAAGAGTACACAAGCAATGGGCCCTAATGTACTGTCTATTAACAAGTTCAGGATGCTGAGTGATGTCCCCAGTGCAGAGATGATAATCTTTAATCCCTACTGTAGCTGTGCCTGGAGCTAGATCCTAGTTATAATAATTGGTCAATTGATGAGGCCACTCAATTCTGCTATATAAACAGCTGGTGAAAATCGCTAGGAGGCAATTAGTGTTAGTGAAGGTGTGAGACAGAAATGCTGGTGTTGATGGTGAGTGCTCTGTTCTGATATTATCACAGGCAACAGTGAAACCCTTGCAGTTTTATATTTTGCATGTCTGATTTCTTAGCTGAAACTTCAGATTAATTGAAAGATTTATTTTCACTGTTATTATCACTTGAATCTTTTTGAAGGACAGCAACTAAGCAATGTAATAAGTGTTGTATTTGAAGAAAATGTAAGTATATATTCCAGTAAAAGTAAGAACATATTTTGTTTAAATTTCCCTTTCCCAGCAGAAATGCCTAATATCAGTGAAGTCTAAAGTTTAAAGTCTTCTGATCTTTTGAAGTCTTTTGGACAATAATGCTTTTTTCTTCTTCTTGTTTTTGTGACATTGACAGAAAACTACTAAGATGTTAACACTGTTATTTAATGCATTTCCCAGCATGCTTCTGCCCAAATAATAGCTTCAGTGAATCAGAAACAGAAAAAATGCATAGAACTTCCAGCTTTTACAGAGAGTTGGAGTTTTAATTTATTGAGTTAAATGCGGAATGTTTTACAATCAATTTTAATATCTTTATGCCATACAGAATTGTAGAATCCATATAGTTCAAAATGAGGAGATTTGGTGTATCAAGTCTGCACCAACCCTCCAAAAAGCATCCCATCCCCATTACCCCGCATGATGTTTTCACAATGGTTAACTTACCTAACCAACACGTCTCTGGACACAACGGCGTTATTTATTTTAGCAAGTAATCTACCTAACCTGCACATCTTTGGACTGAGGAAGGCAGTTGGAGCACCCAGACAAAACTCACGCAGACACGGTGAGAACATGCAAACTCCACACAGACAGTCGCTCAAGGCTGGAATTGAACCTGGGTCCCTGTGAGACAGCAGTGTTAACTACTAAGCCACTGTGCCGCCCCATGTCACAGTCAATGTTATAATTGAATACATAAAATCAATTAAAGCTTTAATAAACAATGTATAGTTGTGTTCTATTGACACATTTAAATATTGGGTAATCTACTAATAATAGTAGTGAATTGTCTAGCATGTAAAGGGCAATGTCTCTAATGTACCCTTCCAGCTTAGTCTTCATTCAGCTTTCTACTGTTCATTCCACCAACAATCATTAGAACACTTGATTGTTGTTCTACACCTACAATTAAAGTGATCACAGTTATGAGACCTAAACTATATATTTGTCCATGGTAAATAGCTTGGTAGGAATTTTGGTCTTAATGGATGGAAGCATGAAGTATTCACCATCATTAAAAGCCATTGGACAATCCATAAAATTTGCACTGTCTGAGGCTTGTGAGCTCAAAAAAATGAATTTGGATTTTCTTAGCTATTCTTCTGTTGATTGATCGCCTAATTCCAGAGTGGATAGGTAGGGATGGAGCTGAGAGACAGAGAGTTATAAAAGGTGTAGGTAAACAAGGGTTTATGTTTGGCAAGCCAGCAGAGAACAAAAGAGAAGCTGAGTAAGCGATAATGAGAGCTGAGGGCAGTCTGTGCTGAAGGCAAAACATGTAATGTGATAATGGGCCAGAGAGTGGATGAAAAAGGGTTGGCTTTGCTATGTCATTACAGGACTGGGTGTGGGAATGGGCAAAAAACATATAAGGATGGAATCAGGATCTAAAGTTATTGTACTAATGTTGAGTCCCAGAGATTGCAGGGTCCCCAAGCAGAAAATGAGATGTTCTTTGAGTTTGCTGGAAAACTGCAGCAGGCCTGTGTCAGAAATCCTGGCCAGGAAACATGGTGGTGAGATGAAACGGCAGGTGATTGGAAGCTCTGGATCATTATCATTTATTCACATCCTCTTCTGTGCTGGCCTGCCATACATAGTGCCCTCATTCATTTCTCTCTCTCTCTCTTTCTCTGGGCCTCATCTCCCCCTATTCATTCAGCTCTCCTCCCACCTTCCATCTCTCCAACCATTCCCCGACCCCAACTGCTCCGCCAACCTTGCCTTCAGCATAAATACCAGCTGCTTTCAGTTCTGACAAAGAGTCACCAGACTCGAAACTTTAACTCAGTTTTTTCTCACAGATGCAGCCACACCTCTTGAGTTTCACTAGCAATTTTTGTTTTTGTTTCAGATCTCCAATAACTGCAGATCTTTGTTTTATTTGAGGTCTGGGTCCATTCAGCCATGATCTTGTTGAATGGCAGGGCAGGTTTGAGGGGCAGATGGGCCTACTCCTGTTCTTATTTCTTATGTTCTTATGAATCTGCATTTTTATCTGTTACTCTGAACTCATGCAGTCTAGCAGTTAATTCGATAAGAGATCTCAAGCCCCTAACCACACAAAACACGATCACTTTCTCTTTGTGATTTATGGGGCATAAAGTCATTTTATTTTAAACACTGAACTATCAAACTGACAGGTGCACAGACATTTTAGAAATGAGAATAGTTTCAGGTAGAGTCTACTAATTCACTATCATCGCTCTACACTGCCCTGAACCAACTGGACGCCAACTGTTTACTTTGTGGACTTTTTCAAATCAACCCATTCAGAAATATTATTATCCACCTCTGGAGCAGGTGGAACTCAAACCTAGGCCTCTAGGCAAGGAATACCACTGACCCTGACTGTGCATTTAATATATTTATTGCATTCTATCTGATTGGTGACCCCATAATGGTAGGTAATTGTCAATGTTAGAACCATTAAAGAATAGAAAAGTTTAAGTACTAGGAAGAGGTCTTTCAGCCAGAGCAAACACAATGGGCTAAATAATTTAGCCACCCATTCTAATCCTAATTGCCAGCATATGGTCCACAGCCTTGCAGATTAAAGTGCTTCAAGCACAGATCATGGTTCATTTTGCGTGAGTTGAAGATTTCAGCCTCAATCATCAAAGTGGGCAAAGAATTCCAACCACCCACCACCCTCTGAGTGGCAAAGGTTTTTCCACATGTCCCCTCTAATCCTTCTGTCAATAAATGTGTACTTCCTGGTAATTAACCTCTCCACTATGGGAAACTGGTCGTTTCTGTCCACGCTATCCAAGCCTCCAGTCAAATGACCTAGATTAAGTCACCCATTAGCCTCCTCTTCTAAGAAAAACAATTCTAGTCTGTTCAATCTTTCCTCACTCTGCAAATTTCACACACTTCTAAATCTTCTCTCTAGAGCAATTATCTTTCCATACTGTGATGATAAATGCTGAACACAACTTCTAGCTGTGGCCTGACCAGTGGATAATATTGTTCCAGCAGTACATCCCTCATTTTGTATTCAAAACATTGCCTAATGGAGGAAAGCATCCATATGCCTTTTCACCAACTTATCTACCTGCCCTGTTGCATCCTGGGACCTGTGGACAAGCTTTCTAGGGTTTCTCATGTCCTCTACCCCTCTCAGTACTCTCTTGTTTCTTGTATATTCCCTTGTTTTGTTTATCATCAATACATAATACAAATACACATTTCTCAAGGTTGAGTTCCATTTGCTATTTTTTCTTCTGCTCAAGTTAATAACTGACAAAAACCTTCAAAATCTTCCTGTAGCTGACAGCAATTCTGTGCACTGCAAAGTACGTGGCCATTTTTTCTGTTGAACCACTTGGAATACCACTGAAAAACATTTGGGGACACCTGAGCAGTAAGTTATTGTGGCTATTACAACTAATTGAATTTTCATCCCGTTGATTTCAATAGAATGTCCTTCAGGGTTATTTGACAATAGATGTGCACTTTTTTATGTCATTACTGGCCAGGTGACCCCCAGTTTATTGTACCTACATTTTTACCAATACATTCTGAATACCTAAAAAACATGTGCATAGGGCAGTTATTTAGGGTGGCACAGTGGCTCAGTGGTTAGCATTGCAGCCTCATAGCACTAGGATCCCAGGTTCAATTCCACCCTTGGGTGACTGTCTGTGTGGAGTTTGCATGTTCTCCCTGAGTCTGCGTGGGTTTCCTCCCACAATCCAAAGATGTGTGGGCTAGGTGGATTGGCCATGCTAAATTGCCCCATAGTGTTCAGAGATGTGTAGATTACGGGGGTTATAGGGAGATGGGTCTGGGTGGGATGCTCCGAGGGTCGGTGTGGACTTGTTGGGCCGAAGGGCCTGTTTCCACACTGTAGGGATTCTATGATAAGGATGTTAAATTGACTTATTATGGGGGATTCAGAAAATACAGCCAGTGAATTGGATTTGGTGGTCCAGAGAATATCTACTACACAATACTAAATGATAGTACTCCTAGGATAGATTGAAACAACTAAGGTGTTTTAATAGGTTAAATACAGACTTGAAACAGAGATGATTGAGATTTATAAAATAATAATGAGGGCAATGGATTCCAAACTGATGCATAGTTTATTTGAATTTAATAAAGGTGCAGATGAACGTACAAACATATGAATAAGGAACAGGGGAAGCCACTTGGCTTCTTGACCTTGCTCTGCGATTCAATAAGATGATTTGATTATTCCACAATCTCACATAACCTCGATAAAGTTTCATCCGCATGTTGATCAAAAAAAACTCTGTTTCGGCCACCTTTTGAGGAAGAGAGTTTTAAAGGGTTTTCCCGCTGAGGAAATAATAATTCCCCTCATCTCCATCTTAAATAGACCACTTATTTTTAACTCTTAGTTCCAGAATAAGCCAAGCCTGTCCAAACTTTCCACAAAGAACAACCCATCAATTCAATGCTCCTGGCCATTCATCTGGTAAACTTTCTCTGAACTGCTTATGTCTTTCCTTAGACCGATACTGTGCACAATAACATCAGATGTGGTGTCATCAATGCTGTGTAGAGTTAAACTATAATAACCATGCCACCCTCATTTTTTGCATTAAATTACCCACAGTAAATGATAACAATCTATTAACTTACCTAAAGGAGAATTCAGAGCCATGAATATAAAATTTGAAAAATGTCCATTTTTTTTGACTGAGAGTGTGGTGCACGAGACTAGCAAGTGATATTGGCTCCTGGCAGGGTACAACGTCTGGATCTCACTCATCTGTAGCTATTCTTTTCCCTTGGGAAAACAACCTGGGAGTCAACTGGAAGCAGTCTTTGTAACCGGATTGATCAGATGCATTGGCTAGGGACTGGGGGTGGATGCGGGGCTGAAGTGAATGAGATTTGCGCAAGGAACTTGTGGCACAAAATCATTTCTTGACAGTATCAACTGATATGGCAATACAAATAGAACAAATTTCTCCATTTCTAAATGACGCTTACATTTAAGAAAATAACATGGTGAAATGTTGGGATAGCTCTTCAAATTATGTGTACTGTGATCTTCAAAAACTGTTCCTATTTGAAAGCTTTGATATTCTCTGTTTGCAGTTGGAAATGAAGGATGTTGAAGAGGACAAATCAGTGAGCTGCTGGAATTAGAAGAGGCTTTTAGGGAAGGATTTACGGTTACTTGAAGCTATAATAACAACTCAAAGACAAAAGCACCTTGAAAGAGAACTAAAATGAATACCAGCATCAGAAGCACAGAAGTAGTTGAATATTGCTACAAATTTATGGATGGATCTTGCCTGAAAGCCAACCGATCAAATGGCCTCCGAGTATCCCTTTATGTGTTTGGTGCAGTGGCAATTCTGGTGACAGTTGTTGGTAATTTGTTGGTGATCATTTCAATCTCGCACTTCAAAAAACTCCATACACCCACTAATTACCTAATTCTTTCGCTGGCAGTTGCAGATTTTCTGCTCGGTTGTATGGTTATGCCATACAGTTTGATGAGATCTATAGAAAACTGTTGGTACTTAGGGGAAATGTTCTGCAAACTTCAAGCAAGCTTCGATTTTATGCTTTGTGCAGCGTCAATATTCCACCTGTGCTTTATCTCTATTGATCGATATTATGCAGTATGTGACCCGCTGAAATACAAGACCAGAATCACGCTTCAAATTGTCCTCATAATGATCTTCATCAGTTGGATTCTTTCAGCATTTGTGGGTTTTGGCATGATATGTTTAGAACTGAATTTAATTGAAATTAGGGATTTCTATTACCATAATATTTATTGCTATGGTGGCTGTATACTGCTGATGGGGAAAATCTGTTCAGTGATTTATTCACTCATTTCGTTTTACCTCCCTGGATTTATAATGCTGTGTATTTATACAAAGATTTACTTCGTAGCTACAAAACAAGCCAGAGCCATAAATGACATTGCAAGGCAAACCCAGACAATCAAAGACAGTAAAAACATAAATTCTCAGACAAGTGAAAGAAAAGCTGCAAAAACTCTTGGAATAGTGATGGGCGTATTTTTAATTTGCTGGTCTCCATATTTCACTTCTAATTTTATAGACCCTTTCATTGAACATACAACCCCACCTATTATGTTTGATCTCTTTTTTTGGTTTGGTTATTTAAATTCTGCATTTAACCCCGTGATCTATGCATTTTTTTATTCTTGGTTCCGAAAAGCCCTAAAAAATATTTTAACCTTTAAAATATTTGCAACTGATTCCTCAAGAATAAATCTATTCTGAGTTAATTCCATCAAAATAGCATAAAGAATGTGGAACTAGAAAGAAAGGTGCTGCTGTTCTTAATATAGTTTCTTTGTGCATTTCTGATAATTTATTATTTTATCTCAGAATGTGCTTTACAATTATATCTTTGAAACTTATAAAAAGAGTTGTTGCAATGAACACCATCAAGTTCAATTGATTATCAGCTGCAAGGATTTGTCAAATATGATTCAAGTGTTTTGAAATAATATGAAAAGTGATTATGGCGTTGTATTATGATCTTCTACATGAATAAAAGTCTCCTTCCAACTCATACGAGAGACGTATGAATTTTCCACTTGCAAATTCAGTCATCAATCAATTTGTTTGTGCTGGTGTTTAAACATTGTTCAGTTTGTGAGATTTTAATTTCTTCTTTTAAAGATGTGTTTTACATTTACCCCATCATCTAAAGAATAAATATCCATTGGAACCCTCCAGTCTTCCTGCAGTAACTTTGTTAGAAATCCTGAAATAATTGAAACTCACTCTCATCAGCTGGACATTTCATTTTTAGCAGTAAGCTGATGCTCCTGGAAGAGGAGGGACATCTATTATAGTTTAATGTGATCAGGTTCATTTATATCTTTTAGGCAGGATTCCTAGTCTGCTGTAGAGAGTCCCTTCACAGGCATATTGAAGATTAGCTGTGACACATCGCTGGAACAACAGTTATGATGAATTGGCCAGCTTTCTTGGTGAAGGTTTGTACAAAGTTATCTTTTTAATATAGTCTGTCCACCAATATTAATGTGCAGGACATGAGGGATAAATAGACATCCATTATGCTCAGAGACATAATAGCATAAATGGTAGCAAATATATTTGATGCATTTGACAGCTGCTATATGTTTGACTATAAAATGGGTGGACAATTTTTACAACCACAACAAGAACGTTTGCAAATAACAAGTGATAGTTTAGATTCAATATGGAAACTCAGATTTTCAGTCCATTCAGTTACATTGGAGAGTTGGCATAACACAGGCAGAACATGAGGGATAAAATCTTGACATAACACTGCAGAAAGTATGGAATATAGAAGTGCTGATGTTTGAGATATGTTAAATCAAGTCTGTATAGCTGGGCATTAAAAATCCCAATACATCTCACTGTTCCTGTCTCTGCTGTCAGTGTAAACTGCTGCGCAGAGAATGCTGTCACTTTCAGATTTACACTGAGCCAAGTAAACTAAGAGTGGATACTTTCCAACTGTTTAGCTACAAGTAACAATAATGAAACAAAAACTGACTAAACGATTTCTGAAAGGAGCAATCGATTACTGAATGATTCTTCTTTGAAAGCTCCGCTCTATCTGTTACTGACAGAATTTCAGTCATATTCTTTTGTAAAATTTTAACCTGAACTGAAAAAGACAACACAGCAACAAAGCCAGCAGCTCAAATGATCATGTAATTCACTCAGTTCGTTGGTTTTCACCTTTCCCATGTAGAATGCTGTAATGAACTCTGTATCATTTTTACATTAGTACACTATGAGGTACTGCATTCTTACTGCAAGGCCATTGCTTATCATATGTAATAATGAAACTCGTAAAGTTTCAATTACACAGGTTAGTTCATGGAAATTCACCACCTGTCTCATAAGCTCATTCATCGCTGATCCATGAAGCAACAAAATCCTTAAAGAGCAATTGCAAAAGCTCAAAATAATTATTTTACTTCTAATTTATAATGACCTATTAATTTTGAATACTTTGCTTCACATAAACGTTGGTGAGCCCATTATTTTTAATTATTCAATGTGATCTCATCCTGAGGAAACATGGACACTTATTCAATTTGTATGAAATTATTCACATTCCTTTGCACCAATTTGCTACGTTGCAGATTATCCCAGTTTGTATTTTAATTTTATAAAGTCATCATACAACATGATTTTAATATTCCTTCAAATACATATTATAAATGTTCACATTTTAATGTGAGTTACAATAGCTAGCTTTGATTTCATTATATCACTTACCCCTTAATAATATTTAAATTAAACTGAACTCACGTATATATGACTGCAATAACCAATGAAAAAAGAAAGCTCTATGAGTTGGAGGTTATATCCCACAAAGATTATATTCTGTCTGTTCAATGAAGGAAACCACATTTACATTGTACCATGAAAAATATGACATTTCTCTGTTGCAGATAGTATTGTAAAGTAATCTTGTGGAAGTGAAGTGATTCGTTTGGAACGAATATCCAGTTATCAAAGTGGACTGGTTACTTAAGAATAAACAACATAAGATGCCACCTTGCATTCTTGATGATGGATATTTTTGTTTGCTATTCTGCAATATCTTGCGTCTTTTGTTTTTGTTGTTACTCTCCAAAGATTTAGTTTTCAGTCTCTGTTCATTCTTTTGTTCTATTCTACTTGTACACCCTAAGTCATAAAGGTTTTATCTTACAGTAGAAGATAATTTTTTTTAGAGAATGACTGGATTCACTGTTTGCATTTTTCCATGAATGGCTTTTTCAACTGATTTCCAGCAAATTATATGTTAACTGTTGCAAAGATGTTCCACATTTAAAAAGTGACAGCAATAGTAAAAGCCAAAATAAATAAGGAAAGAAGATTTTTAAAAGATCACACTAATTATAAAGCAATTAAAGTTAAATACAAATTTATGTTGATAAAAGGAACAACATGAGCAAATGGAAGCTGGAAGACCTGATAGTTAATATGATAATATAAAGTAAATGTTTAAATAAAGTTGTGTTTTGCTGCTTAATTTAATACATTAACTTATGTTTGATAAACTAATATAATAGCTTGCATATTTCCATTTTATACTGCCTTCAAGCTACATCAGTGATGTTTTTAAAGCACATTATCGTGAAAAATCAGAGATGTACACTTACTGGTAAAGTTGCTATATGTTAGCACCAACATGTAGATCTGAACAGCTATTGCTGATTCTTCACATCATTTCATTGTTGCTGTTGTACCAGTTGCAGTGCTGCTGACTACTTTTCATTGCTGCCTTCTAATAACCTGGTATAGTTATTTGCTTTCTTGTTTACATATAAATCATTTGAAGATCATTTTCCAATCCTGAAATCTCAGAAATTGTTCCAATTTCATTGTTTATGATCACAGCATTGAAGGAGATCGCAAAATACATCCAAAAACTTCACTGTTCTGTTACTTAGCTGAATTTCTTGGATTTGTGTCAATTCTTATTTGCAGCATCATGAAGCAGAAGTAACATTTGTTTTGTGTTGTTAAATTGATCCCAGAAAACATTTTCCACAATAACTTATTTTATCCACATCTGAAGCATTAATCAAGCTCTTAATTGAAGGTTTAAACCCAGTGCAATTGACGTCAGCTCAAGTACTAAAAATCAAACCATTGTTGAGTTGTTTGTGCTGGACTAGAAAGAACTAGGGATTGCTCAAGCCTGGCTTGACAAATGATATTATTTTTGTGTTTGCATCTTCTACTTACATAAGCTGGTTCACAATGAATTAATTGGTTATAAATGTATTCATTTTATTTTTGTAGCTAGTTATGAATCAATGGTACAAAGGCGAGGAATAGATAGTGTTCTGTTAGATTATCAGAAAACTGTAAATAATATTTACCCAACACTTTTACACATTAATCATGTAATATTTGTCTTTTGTGTGTCTTTCACTCAGCTCATTGTCAAAAAATACCTCTCAGAATAATCCAGCCTTGAAATCGGTGTGAACATCTCACAGGTTATAGCTTTAACTATCTATAGTACATTCCCAGTAATATACACGTTCAAGATCAAGCAGCACAGAGTATCATAACGAATACAATACTCAGAAAATATGTTTCATATTTTTAAATGATTTCTCCCATTTTGAGAAAAAAGGGATTTCAATGTGCATTTAACAAAAAAGCAAACAGCAGCACAGAGAGGGAACATAATAAATAAACAGCACAACCAACTGATACTGGACAAATAATAAATCAGTTTCTCTGTGAGGATCACCTACAAAGTTGTTTGGGTTCATGGCAGTGAAAGATTTAGATAGAGAGGCCAAGTGCTGTTTCACCACCCATCCTGCAATGCCCATCCCCTGCCTATGGCAAGACTGCTATTGACAACTCCCTCCATATAACCTGCATGCAAAATAGTGGGCAGATATTTTCACCATTCTTTCTCCAATCTTGGCTCTTTCTCTGGATTCTCAATTTGGAACGTGGCTGCAAGTTCCCAGAAAATTAGGTCATTGCCCTTGCGAACAAAAGAAAAACCTTGCAGTTTCATTTCATCCCAAGGGAATTTAACAGGTTGGTTAAGTGCATATAGTTTAGTGCTGTCATGTATTTTTAATGGGGAAGTGAAGATATTGAATCATCTAAGTGAATAAATTATCTGTGGTTTGCATTAAATAATGTGGTTGACACTTAAATGCCTCTGATCTGGCCTACCAAGTCATTCAATTATATCAAAATGCTAGTAAATCTGAGAAACAAAACAGAATCAGGTGTACCATTTACTATTGATCCAGACACTAGAAATGACAATGGCAAATCCACCCTGTTAACCCTATCAAGCCCTCCTTACTAAATTCTGAGAGCTTGTGCAAACATTTGGTGAACTGTCCAACAGATAAGTCAATCATCAGCTTGAAATAGTCATGCACATGACCATCAAGTCTTACAATAAATGTCCCCGGTATCACCATCACAATCCCTGGGTATATCCAGACATACCAGCAGGACAGATCTAGTAAAGGTAGCAGCACTATGGTATACAGAGAGGAGGAAGTTGCTTTGGGAGTCCTCAACTCTGACACTGGATCCACAAAGTCTCATGGCATCAGATCAAAAATGAGCAAGGTAACCTCCTGTTAATTACCACTGAATGCACCAATTGAAAGAAGTGCTGAGGGTGTTAGGGGGACATAACACACTGAGCGCAGGACTCCAACACCACTGGCTGAGCTGACTGAGTCCTAAAGGACATAGCTTCAATGCTGTGTCTGCAGCAGGAGGGAAGGGAGCCGACACAGAGGACATCCCAGTTATGGCTTCACCTCCTCCTTACCAATCTACTTGCTGTGATGCATCTATCCATATTGGTAAGAATGATTACCATAGAGTCTTTGTGGAGACAAAGTCCTTCTTCACATTGAGAAGACCCCCCAACTTGCTCAATGAAATAAATTTTGAACATATCTAGCGACTCAAAATTGGGTATCTGCAAGGTGTTGTGGCCCAT